GTTGTCAAAGGAAAAGTTTGGATTGACTCTTGTTCTTTTTTGAGTAGTTTTTCAGATAGCGATGAAACATTACATCTTTCGGCAGGAATTTATCTAGATTCACCCAGATATTTATCAGTAAACAATTCTCAATTTTCCAACTTGCTCAATATTAATACAACAGCTTCAGCAATATTTATTGAGAATCAAGAAAATTTGACAGAATCCCAAACTTTTATGGTAGAATCATGCACATTTAGTGGGAATTTTGCTGTTAATCAAGGAAGTACAATTGTTTCTGTTTCTTATCCACATGCGATTCTATACAATTATATTTTCACAAACAATACTTTTGAAAACAACAATGGAGAGATCTCTGGCGGAATTTATTCAGAGATACTTCCTCAAGAAAATTCATCGGTTGTGGTTACAAACAATACTTTTTTTAATAATGCCGGACAGCAAGGAGGAATTTATTTGTTTGCAATAGATGATTTACACAATTTGAGAGTCAGAATAGATGGAAATAATTTTAGTCAAAATACTGCGATCTATGAAGCTTCAGCTGTGAAATTTGAAACTAATGAAATTCAAACTTGGGAGTTAGGATCTTTTGAGTTTGTGAATAATTTCGTTATGAATGATACTGGCAATAAAAATAATCTCAATTTGTGTTTTCAAGTGCATAACATAAGTATTGATTTGATAATTGAGAATAACAATTTCATTTCCAATTATGTTGTTTATCAATCTCCAATATTGATAAACACGACTTTAATTAAGAATCAAGCAAATTTCTCCTTCATTTCAAATAATTTTGTGAATAATAGTGGAACACAGACTATATCTGGAGGAATTTTTATTTATGATCAATTCGGTTTAAATAACACACAAAACTATTTTTTTATCAACAACACCTTCATTAATAATACAGGCCACGATTATGCTGGAGGAATCATCTTTGTGCATTCAACTTTTTTAAATGAATCATATCTACTATTTGAAAACAACACATTCGAAAGCAACACTGGCCCCATTGGTGGGTTATTTTATTATTCAAGTGCTGAATCTTCTAACAATACATTTGATTTTGTTGGAAATACTTTCAGGAATAACATTGGGAATATTTATTCAGGCGGTATTTATTTTTTCCTATTGAATAATATTGATCATTTCGATTTCGCATTTACAAACAATGTTTTTGAGAGCAATAATGGATTGAGTGGTTCAGGTGGAGTTGCTATTGATTTTGTATCTTCTTTAGATGGAATAGATATTTCATTCAATGAGAATACTTTTATCAACAATACTGGAGGTGAGGGTGGCGATGCGTCAATTAACACTGATCTTCTCAAAACAAAAAATTTTAGCGGCAATTTCGAAGATAATATCTTTGAGAGGAGTAGCAGTGATAGTGGAGGAAGTTTATTCTTGGATGCTTTGGCTAATTTCACTATCCAGAATTGTGAGTTCATCAATAACTATGCAGTAGAAGGAGGATCAATATTGGTTAGAGGACAAGCAAGATTGTTGATAAATAATGCAACTTTTTCTCAAAGCAGCGCGATATTTGGATCCACAATTGTATCCTTTTCAAGTGAGCAAACAACGATCACGAATTCCATCTTGAATACTCCTGACGATTCAGGGAAAATTGGATATTTTGAAAATGTTGAGCCAGCTCTGGAAAATACAACAATAACTTGTGGAGAAGGATATATCTACCAAGATTTATCATCGATTCAATACAAAAATGTGCTTGAAGTAATAAGCTATATTTATGAGTGTGTTCCTTGTCCGCAAGGTTCCTATTCAATGAGTTCTGGAGGCAATTCCGAAGGAGCAGCAAATTTCTGTTTTGATTGTCCTTATGGAGCTGTTTGCAATGGAACAAATAGAATTGCTCCTTTATCAGGATTTTGGGGATTTCCAACAAACTCGTCTCAATTTTTGGAATACAAACCTTGTCCTGCAGGATATTGCACTATCAAATCAACAAGTGATACGCAATCAATTTTATCAGGAGATTACAACTACTGTAGTGGGAATAGAAAGGGTATTCTTTGTGGAGAATGTGAAGAAGGATACACAAACACTCTAAGTGATGAATCTGAGTGTGTTCTTAAGAAAGATTGCCAAGGAGGGTTAGGATATTATCTGTTCCTAGCTTTGATAAAAGCAGTTATTTATGCGCTTATTCTTCTTTTCAAACCACAAGATGCTTCAGGCTCATTTATTGTGATCGTTTATTTTTGCCAAATGATCCCTTATGTTCTTCCTGAAATTAGAAAAGATCCAGATGAAAAGGATCAGGGAAGTCAGAAGTTTGCAAGTGTTCTTCAGTTTCTTTCTGATTTAGTTAATTTAAAAGCAAGTTTCCCAACTTTGAAAACTTGGGGGAATTGTCCAAATGATCACATTTCTTCTGTTGAAAAAATCGCATACAGTCTAGTTGGACCAGCTTTCTATTTTGGAGTTCTTCTTCTTTTTGTTCTGATTTATTATCTTATTATTTATTTGAAGAAAAAAAGAAAACAGAAAAGGGAAAGACAAAATAAAAATGAAGACAAAGAAGATGATAAAAAAGATACCTTTGAGCTTGAAGATCTTAATATAAAAGAAAATGAAAATGATGAAAATGAAAATGAAAATGAAAATGAGCCTTTTGATTCACAAGAAACAAAATTTACTCGAAAACAAATCATTTTTGATGCTTTTCTTACTTTATTCATTTTAACATACACAAACCTGACCGAAACAACATTAAATTTATTGAATTGTGTTCCAATCAAATTTGAAGATGGTCATTCAGAGAAAAGATTATATTTTTCTGGAAATGTGGAATGTTATACTCCTTGGCAAATTTTTCTTTTCTTCATTGTGATTTTGGTAGGATTATTTCCATTCGCCATTTTGATTTGGAAAAAATGGGCAAAGAAAAAATACGAAAAGAAATTAAAAGAGAAAAAATCACCGTATGTTGAAGTAATGCTATTCATTCTTGAAGCGCCATTTGTGAAAAATTGCAAATATTGGAGATCTTTTTATCTTTTCCGTCGATTTTTCATAATTGTTATATTTGTTTTCGTGATTGATCCTTTTATTAAAAGTTTCATCATTAGTCTCATTTGTCTTGTTATTCTTTTATTAACAATCATCTTGTCTCCTTTTCGTAACAAAAGAGTGATGAAAATGGAATATCTTTCACTTTCTATTTTAGTTGTTTTTTCAATCATGACAATGCGAGATGGTGCTTTAGCTTCTGCTGGAGTTGATAATGAATTAGGAAGTTTAAAAAATACAACTCTTGCATTTAATATTCTTGGATATATCCTTACAATCACAGTATTGATACTTGCTTTAGTGAATTTTTTTATTGGGTTTCGTTCTCAAATTAAGTCTTGTGCCAAAAAGGAGAAATAAGAAAAGAAAATTAAAATTCAACACAAAATTCAACACAAAAGAAAGCATTTTATTTTATTTTATTTTATTTTATTCCACTTTTTTTACAAATAAAAAATTAATTTAAATTAATTTGAAATAAATATATTTATTTTTAAATATTATTAATAAATATATTTATTTTATAATTAAATATTAACAATAATTTATTCCACTTTTTTTTTGAAATAAAAATATTAAATAAATAAAATAAATTTAAATAAGAAATAATAAATAAAATAAATTTAAATTAATTTGAATTAAATATTTTTATTTTTAAATATTATTAAAAATATATTTATTTTATAATTAAATATTAACAATAATTTATTCCACTTTTTTTTTGAAATAAAAATATTAAATAAATAAAATAAATTTAAATTAGAAATAATAAATAAATTAAATTTAAATTAATTTGAATTAAATATTTTTATTTTTAAATATTATTAATAAATATATTTATTTTATATTTAAATAATAATAATAATTTATTCCACTTTTTGGAAATAAAAATATTAAATAAATAAAATAAATTTAAATTAGAAATAATAAATAAATTAAATTTAAATTAATTTGAATTAAATATTTTTATTTTTAAATATTATTAATAAATATATTTATTTTATAATTAAATATTAACAATAATTTATTCCACTTTTTGAAATAAAAATATTAAAAAAATAAAATAAATTTAAATTAGAAATAATAAATAAATTAAATTTAAAATAATTTAAATTAAATATTTTTATTATTAATTATTATTAAAAATATATTTATTTTATATTTAAATATTAATAATAATTTATTCCACTTTTTTTTGAAATAAAAATATTAAATAAATAAAATAAATTTAAATAAGAAATAATAAATAAAATAAATTTAAATTGAATTGAAATAAATATTTTTATTATTAAATATTATTAAAAATATATTTATTTTTTATATTTAAATAATAATAATAATTTATTCCACTTTTTTTTGAAATAAAAATATTAAAAATAAAATTAATTTAAATAAGAAATAATAAATAAAATTAATTTAAATCAATTTGAAATAAATATTTTTATTATTAATTATTATTAAAAAATATATTTATTTTATATTTAAATAATAATAATAATTTATTCCACTTTTTTTTGAAATAAAAATATTAAAAAATAAATTAATTTAAATAAGAAATAATAAATAAAATTAATTTAAATTAATTTGAAATAAATATTTTTATTATTAATTATTATTAAAAATATATTTATTTTATAATTAAATAATAATAATAATTTATTCCACTTTTTTTTTGAAATAAAAATATTAAAAAAATAAAATTAATTTAAATAAGAAATAATAAATAAAATAAATTTAAATTAATTTGAATTAAATATTTTTATTATTAAATATTATTAATAAATATATTTATTTCATATTTAAATAATAATAATAATTTATTCCACTTTTTTTTTGAAATAAAAATATTAAAAAAATAAAATTAATTTAAATTAGAAATAATAAATAAAATGAATTTAAATTAATAAAAAAAAAAAAGATTAAAGAAATAAATATAAAAAATAAATAAAAAAATATAACTCGGGTACGGGGAATCGAACCCCGATCTTGAATGTGAAAGACTCATATACTAACCATTGTACTATACCCGATTTAAATTATAAATTATTATTTTTTTTCTTATTTTTTTATTTTAAAAAAACTCCTTATTTATTTATTATTTTTTTTTCATTTTCTTTTTTATTTTTTTTTATTTAATTTTTTTATTTAATTTTTAATTAATTTTTTATTTATTTTGATTAGGTTTATTTCAATATTTTTTATTTCCAATTAATTTTAAATAAATTTATTAATTAATTTATTATTAAAATATATTTAGAAAATTATATATTTTTATTTGATTTTTTTATTTAATTTTTTATTTAATTTCTAATTTATTTTGATTAAGTTTATTTCAATATTTTTTATTTTGGATTAATTTTAAATAAATTTATTAATTAATTTATTATTAAATTATATTTAGAAAATTATATATTTTTATTTGATTTTTTTATTTAATTTTTTATTTAATTTTTAATTTATTTTGATTAGGTTTATTTCAATATTTTTATTTTGGATTAATTTTAAATAAATTTATTAATTAATTTATTATTAAATTATATTTAGAAAATTATATATTTTTAATTTAATTTTTTATTTAATTTTTTATTAAATTTTTAATTTATTTTGATTAGGTTTATTTAAATATTTTTATTTTCAATTAATTTTAAATAAATTTATTAATTAATTTATTATTAAAATATAATTAGAAAATTATATATTTTTATTTAATTTTTATTTAATTTTTATTTAATTTTTAATTTATTTTGATTAAGTTTATTTAAATATTTTTATTTTCAATTAATTTTAAATAAATTTATTAATTAATTTATTATTAAAATATATTTAGAAAATTATATATTTTTATTTAATTTTTATTTAATTTTTATTTAATTTTTAATTTAATTTGATTAGGTTTATTTCAATATTTTTTATTTTGGATTAATTTTAAATAAATTTATTAATTAATTTATTATTAAAATATATTTAGAAAATTATATATTTTTAATTAATTTTTTTATTTAATTTTTAATTTAATTTTTAATTTATTTTGATTAAGTTTATTTAAATATTTTTTATTTTCAAATAATTTTAAATAAATTTATTAATTAATTTATTATTAAATTATATTTAGAAAATTATATATTTTTTGGATTTGATTTTATTTAAAATTTTTAATTAAGGAAGAAAAGAAAAAGTTGCGATTGAATGTTGAGGAAGTTGAACATGAGCAAATTTTTGGTTAAATTCCAAATCAAAGAATCTTGGAACATCATTCAAATTCATTACAACAGTAACAATTTGACCATCTGGAGTCAAAAAAGAAGTAGCAAAAATATCTTGAGAACCAATAATTTGGCAATCAATCCTAACAGAACCAGGAAGAATAAACTTAGAAAATTGACCCATATAGTAGTATTCTGAATTATAGACGATTGTTTTTGAATTTTGGTCAATCATAATTGGAGAAGCACAAGAAGCATTAAGATGATTAGGACCACCAAGCATATCCAAAAGCATATTCCAATCAACCCAACCAACAGCCCAAGAATTAAGATCGCCAATGATATCATATGCGTATTGCTCCCCTGAATACCATATTGCTCCCCGACTTCCGGGACAAACGCAAGCTTCTGAGGCAAGAAGAAAATATTCTGGAAAATCTTCATGTGTTTTAAGTACATTTTCAAAATATGGTCCTGAATACCAATGGAATGCTACTCCATCCACATATTTTGCTGCTTCTGCTCGGTTTAATATTGTTTTTGAATAGTTGTACACATCATCTTTGTTGTAGTCGTAAATCATGATTTTTACATCAGGATAATCGGTTTTTAATTGTGGTCCTAAATAATATGCTAGAAAATCTGCTTCTTGATCTGCTGAGTAAATGCATGCTTCTCCAGGTGCATCGAAACCTGGTTCATTTTGGATTGTTCTAATTTTTTATCCGATTTTTAATTTAATTTTAATTTTGATTTCAAAATGAATTTTAATTTTAATTTTGATTTTAATTTTAATTTTGATTTTTATTTTGATTTTTAATTGAATTTTGATTTTGATTTTGATTTTTAATTTTATATTTTAATTTTAATTTTAATTTTAATTTTGATTTTGATTTTGATTTTAATTTTTTATCCGATTTTTAATTTTAATTTTGATTTTTTATCCGGTTTTTAATTTTAATTTTAATTTTAAATTTAAATTTTAATTGAATTTTGATTTTGATTTTGAATTTTGATTTTTAATTTTAATTTTAATTTTAATTTTAATTTTGATTTTAATTGAATTTTGATTTTTAATTGAATTTTGATTTTAAATTTAATTTTAATTTTAATTTTAATTTTAATTTTAATTTGATTTTAAATTTAAATTTTAATTGAATTTTGATTATAAAAGTACATTCCCCAAATTGGAATTCCTTCAGCTTCATAAGCAGAAATCCATTTACTAAAATACAAAGCCCAAGATTGATAAATTAAAGGATCATTAATTAAACCAGGACGATTAGAACCATTCATTTGACCATTACTTTTCATCCACCAAGGAGGACTCCAAGGAGAACCAAAAAGATGAAAATTAGGACCAGTAGCTTTAAGAGCAGCTTTTATCATTGGAATAACAGTATGCAAATCATGACCATTTGAAAGTTTCCATTGTGAAAGACTGTAATCATCAGGAGTATCATCAAAAGAATAAGAAGAAGCAGAATAATCACAAGAATTAATCGGAACTCTTCCTACTCGATAATTCAAATTCACATAATAAGCTTCAATTATTTGTTGTTGAAGTGTTGCGTTTAATTTGTTGAAATTTATTGCTGCTGCTTCTGTAAATGCTCCTCCAAATCCTAAAATAGTTTGATATTTGTTCGCGTCAGATAGTTTTATTGTGATATTACTTATTGGTGTTGATTGAAATGTAATATCTGCTTTTGGTGTTAAACGATCTCCTGTAAATTCTGCTGTTTGAATAACATGAATAATTTGTGTAAAGTTTTGAGAAAAGAAAAATGTGAAAAAAAGAAGCAAAATTAAAATTTGTTTCATTTGTTTTTTTTTATTATCAAAAAGAAAAAAAATGATTTTTTTAATTTTAATTTTAATATAAATTTTAATATAAATTTTAATTTTAATTTTCGTTCTTTTGTTCTTCTGTTTCTTTTGGTCTTAAAGGACATGTTCTTTTTGTATGTCCTTCTTTTCGGCATATACTACATTTTCTCACTGTAGATTTTTTCTCTTTAGGTTTTTTTGGATCTTTTTTTTTTCTTTTTCTTTTATTTTCGTTTGTATTTTTATTTGTATTTTTATTTGTATTTTTATTTGTATTTTTATTTGAATTTGAATTTGAATTTGAATTTCGATTTGTATTTGGATTTGAATTTGGATTCCAATTTTGATTTGAATTAGAAATTTGACCAACTGAAATTTGAAAATTTTGATTTTGATTTTGATTTTGATTTTGATTCAAATTTAAATTTTGATTCAAATTTAAATTTAGATTTTGATTTTGATTTGGATTCCTAATATAATTTGAGTTTAAAGTTGCACTTCTTATTAAATTTTGATTTTGATTTTGATTTAAATTTAAATTTAAATTCAAATTTGGGTTATTTTGATTGGAATTTTGATTAAATTTAAAATTTAAGTTTTGATTAGAATTAAAAGGAATTATTCCTTTTGATTGAAAATTTCCTGATGTATTTGTTTGTTGTCTTGAAAAATTATTTGTATTTGTATTTGGATTTGTATTTGTATTTGGATTTGGATTTGAATTTAGATTTGGATTTAAATGAGAAGGAATAACAGAAATAGTGTTTGAATTGAAATTTTTAGGATAAACATGGTTTTTACGTTCCCATTTTTTTGCTGTATACATTTGTTTCAAAGTTTGATCACAATTCAAACAACCGATATAAGGTGAATCGAAATAAATAGGAACACTTCCCTCTTGGAAAACAACTTCAACAAGATGAGATTGTTTCTTGATGCATTCGGGAGAGTCACAAAGAGTGGGAAGAGGCTTGATACTCAAAATATCTTCTTTGAGAAACATTGTCCAATTACAAAGAGGACTTTTTTGACAAAAAACCATCCATTTTCCTGATTTAAGTTTTTTGGGAAATAAAAACGTTGAAGAATCATTGCAAAGAGGACAAAGCATAACTTGTGAGTTTGTTTGATCCAAAATTGATGATTGGGGAACAGCAACAAAATTATAAAAACGGGAAAATGCAGCAACCAAAGAATCCTTTTGTTTAAAAGCTTCAAAATAGGCTTCTTTATACAATTTGATTGTTTCCTGGACAACAAAGTCCTTTGTTTTTGAACCTTTGCAAATGAGTTTCATATCAGATTCCATTTGCGCACGTAATATAGGTTTTGTGAAATTGAATCCCATTAAATCGTATCCGTCATAAAGTCCCAAACCCAAATTTGTTGGGGTAAAATATATTCCTTCTTTAACAGCGTATTTTCTTTTTTGGACTGTTTGAATATGTTCTGCAATTGTTGCATCTGTTCCGATTCCGTGTTTATCCATCAATTTGATCAGTTGGGATTCTGTCAAAAGCAAAGGTGCTTCAGTTTTGCCTTCATGAACTGAGATTTGCAGAGGAATAAAAGTGTCTCCTTGGTTATAAATAGGAATGGCATTTTCAGTCCATTTCTCATAAGTATAAATTTCCAAATAATTATATTCCTTCACCATCAATCCCTCAAGATTAAAGATCTCGTCTGCAATATTAATTTTCACAACAGTTTTATCTCCAACAGCATTTTTGGAGCAGCAAGCCAAAAAATGTCTTGCAATAAATTCATAAACTGTTTTGCGGTCACCTTGGAGTGATGAACCGCTTCTTGTAGGATATATTGGTGGATGTGAGTTGTCGCTATGGTTTCCATGAATGGGAATTTGGAATTTTCCATTCAGAAGATTTTGTGCATATTGTCCCCAATGGGGATCACTTGTTTGAAGAGAAACCAAACTTTGTAGATTCATTGATTGTGGGAATGCATTTGTTTCTGTTCGAGGATAACTGATGTATCCT